TTGTCGTGCTTTTGGGTTCTCTGTTGCCTGGACCAGTGGCCGTGACACATTGGGGGCTGCCTCCTGCTGTTTTGTTACCCACAGGGTCACGGTTTGTCACCGAGTACATGAGCACTACTGCCCCTTTTGTGTTAGCCTGCTCACCACTAAGGCAGTTTCATTTTAAGATTTCCACCTGAACAAACAGTCAAATTCAGCCTGTAACAACTTGTGAATGTGAGAAACTTGGAAAATGAACCCTTAGACCAAACAAGAGGACCTGAAATATTTATTAATGACACAAAAAGTTGTAATATTACTATTTGACTTTATAACTTTGATTTAATAGTATATACATACTGCACGCACAACCTACAAAGAGGTTTAATGACCAATAATGACAGCGTTTGGTTTTGTATAAAGCCATACAAATTATTAACTGTGTTGCAGCCCTTGGCGTGACACAGTGTCACACAGGGTGCCGTGCTGTTTTTCTGTTAAACCCGCTGGAGATTATAAACAAGCTTCGAGGAAAACTTTGAGAAAACCGATCCTTTGCTTTAAGAAGATTGTTAAAAGACACAAAGAGAAAGAGAGGATGAGAGATACAGGATCACCTGTTTTTAAACTATAAAGAGACAGCTGAAAAAATCCTGCAGAAATGTGAGGTTAACATAAACCCACACGGTTTTCGTTATTTTCGCCTTTTTTGATCAAATAAAGAAGATTTCAGGTTAACGACAGCAGCTGCGCTGCGTGATCAACAACGCTGACATTTTAAATAAAGGATGACAGAATCAAAGGAGGCGTTTTGTAGCCATGTGACCCAACACGATGTACCGCGGAAGATTCTGGCATTTGCAATTTATCACAAACAGGTAAAACATTATGAATCCAAACATCTGGGGCGAGTGGGCATGAGATAAAACAAAAAGGATTTTTCTATTCACCCTCATAGCGGCAGCTCATCCTGTGCTGTTGCTGAATCATGTGTTGTCCAGCAACGCAGAACCAGTGTTGTCTGTCACTAATAAGCTAGACACCAGTTCAATGAGCAGAATTGACTTGGGGGAGAGGCAAAGTGCATCGGCTAATTCCCTCAGTGCAGGCGGTCAGTTATTGATTAGACTCAAGATCACTCTACAGCCTCTACACATACCTGATAGAGAGGCATTAGATCAGTGTCTTTAACACTCATAATGCCACTTGTATCATATTATTAGATCCTTTTTTTTTTTTAATCTGAGACTATTTAATGGTAAAAACTTTGGTCAAAACCCTGTTTACTCAAAACAATCAGTGACAGCTTATCACTTAATACAGGTTTATTTTTGTTTATATTTTTTAAAGGAAAAAATAAAGACTTCTAAGTAAAATTCTCTGTATTTTTCCTTGGATCGGGCTTTAAATGGTTCAAATGAAAATGAGCTTAACAAGGTTCTGCTAGATGAACATTTCCACAAGTCTGAAAGTTGAACATGATGTCAGAACAAATCTATAATGGCGATGAGATACTTCAAATATTTTTCTGTCTGACACAATATGTAATCTGCTCGTCCTGATTCCGACCAAAGTTTGCTACCAGGCACAACACACACATACACACACACACACACACACATACAGCTTCAAGGCAAAAGCTCTGAAAGTTAAATGAAGGCAACATAAAGGATGCCCTTTGCTGTCGTGGGTTGTAAAACAGGGACTGGGTTGGTAAAACAGCTCTGAGCTGCATGGGAAATGGGGTTGTGGAGGAACAAATGCTCTTCTCCAGAAACATTCCAGACCTGCTAGACATGCGGAGATCATAAATAAATAATGAAGAACACGAGGAACATCCGTCATGCTTACAGCGAGATAAAACTAGTGTGGTGTTAATAGTGTCTACGGGAGCACATGACATCTGTTTTCACATCAATTCGAACTCCTGCTGTGTTTTCATATTGTACTGTACAACAATTAATTATGCAAAATACTGTATGTTATGTATTATATAGAAAGACCTCTTAACCTGTATTTTGCACAAACCTGGTGCAAGAGTATAGATGAGATTTTCTATTTCATATCTTGGTTTAGTCCATGTTCAGATGAGGCCTGTGGTGTTTAAACAAAACATCGATCTGCACCACAATCTCATCAGGTCTTTGAAAAAAGAGGATCATGTGCACCCATCAATGGACGAGAGAATTTGGAAATTTGGTTTTGAGGGGAGAACTTCAGTGGCTGAAGAACGTTAAGGATAGTTCACATGTAATAATGGTTTATAATACAGCAAAATGTTCTGACTTCTTCTATTTTAGCCAAAAAGTTTGCTCCTCTGCTCCTCCTCCAGAGTAGGGACATAACAAAGCTATGGAGACTCATGGTCAGTGTGATCTCTGTGTTGTCTTGTTGTTGAGAGATGGTACACCAAAATGGTTTGGAGCCAGCCAAACTGTGTCACCTCAGTCTCGAGTCATTTACGTGTTCACAGACTTCCGTAATGTTGCTTGATCTCATTTGAGTACACTCTGTATGTCTCGTTTTTTATTTTTACCCGACACCTATTCACATGTTAACTGTCAGGACTGACGTGTGGTCTCGGTCGTGCTGTATCTGAGCACGTTCATCATGTTTCTAAAGCCCTCTAAACTCCAACCGAGCCGAAGGCTCAGGGAGAAGGGGGGGCTGGAAAACAGAAAAAGGCACAATGGGAGAGAGAACAGGAGACACTCAAGGGGGAGAGGAAGAGCGAGCCAATACGGTGAGAGAGAGAGAGAGACCCTGTGCACAGACACAGCGAGAGAGAGAGAGAGAGAGAGAGAGAGAGAGAGAGAGAGGGAGCAGGAGATTCCCGCTGAGGGAAAGAGAGGCTGAATGTGAGAAGCAGCGAGAGGAGAGTGGAAAGCAGAGATGCACTCAGCTCCCGGTCACCACTGAGGACGACTCAAACTTGACAACCTGAATCCCACCTGGAACCTTTTCTGATGGAGGACGGATCATCCTCCTCCTTCTTTCCTCTCTTTTGAGTTGTTTTCGCTTTTTGGAAGTGCCAAGACACGCCAGAAGCAAGCGGGAACGTGGACGGCTTGTGAAGGAACGTGGTCTGTGCTGGTTCTGGGAAGATGTGGACGGAGAGTGATCGGCATTTTCCACCGAGGGGCAACGGGGGGGAAAACGTATTAATGGAATATTGAGAAAACTCTGGAGGACCTGCATGGTTTTTCGTGAGAAGTGGAGTATTTTTTTCAAAGGTTTTTCGACCAGCAAACTGACGGATCGTGCGGAGAAAAAAGCAGAGGATGTTTAGTGACATGTAGGCACACATGTCAAACAGCATCATGTTCATCATCCATCTCTGTCACCCTCCCAGGTGCAGGGATGAGATCTCATGAGGAAACCAGGACGATGGAGGATTTTCACACGTGTTTGATGGCGCACACACTGTTCAGTTGAATTTTTGAAAGTCTGCCATTTGGGGAACCGAAACTCTCAGAAGTCGTAACTTTCATGAAGACTTCTGTCAATCTGATCAGAGGACATCTTATGAAGTTTGTCCTACAGTTTTCATATCTTCCCTAAAGTTTTAAAAGAAACTGCTAGCTGGAAACTGATTCAAACATATTGAATTCTTTCCTGCTTCAATCCCGATCTGATACATTTAAGATGAAGACTAGCCAAAACTTGGAGGGAATCTTTAGTCCGACGATGAGTCTTTTTTTCCCCTTTTTTGGTTAAGGCATGAGTCACAATCAGTCAAACGTTTGGAAGAACCCATCTTTTTTTGTTTTGTTTTCATGGCCTTAGGTGATGAAGTTAACAGAGCATTCCCGTTTTTCCTCTTGCGCTTTGAGATGAAACATCTGCTCTTTTTGTTTCCCTCTGAGGGGATCATCTGTTGGCATTTTAGGGCCTAAGTTTCCTCTGAGGTGAAAGAATAAATCAGTTATGCGTCGCATTGAATAACGGTCTGTAACGCAATGTGGGAAGTGACCCGAGGTGTTTACGCACGGAACGCAGGTGAACGATGATCCGACTTTCCGCTTTCTGGCCCTGCTCGGACTCCATTTCCTGGAAGTAATCTGGAGACGTTTAGCTTTGGCGTTACCATGAACCTGAGGGGAGGCAACATGTCAGAGCTGATCTCCAACACTGACCCCTGGCCGTCGTTCGGATTGGAGGAGAGCAACGCCACCAGTTGGGGTTGTCAGCGCGTTGGCGTTGGCGGCGGGGCCCACAACTGGTCGGGAGGGGCCCCCGGCCCCCGCTGCCCGGCTGCCGGACAGAGCAAGAACTGGGCGGCGCTGCTGATCCTGGCGGTCATCGCCGTCACGGTGATGGGGAACATCCTGGTGATCCTGGCCGTGTCCCTGGAGAAGAAACTGCAAAACGCCACCAACTATTTCCTGATGTCGCTGGCGGTGGCCGACATGCTCCTGGGCATCCTGGTCATGCCGGTTTCCATGGTGACCATCCTCTACGGTAAGCATCCCGAGGCCGCTCACCCCCGGGCTTTGTTCAGCTTGACATTTAGCGGGTTGACCAACTGTTTGGTGACTTTGCTTCTCTCTGGAGATGAGTTTTTTTGTTGTTGTTTTTTCCATTTGTGGAAACATGAACTCCGTCTCTTTCCGCTTTGTCGCTCAGAAATGCTGTGAGTTCGCCGTTTAGAGCGGCTCGATCTGTTTTCTGCGGCTGATTCGCAGCAGCCTGAACAGTGGTTGTTAGAATTCTTGTTAGAATTCTTGCCCGGCTCTGTGGTGGCGGTGCACGACAGATGGAGAGCAGCAGCGAAGGAGGTATTCAGGGCTGTTGTTGACAATGATGTGTTTATTTTTGCTGATTCGGTGGAGAGAGAGAGGGAAAAAAAGTGGCACAATAAGCATCCATCCAGAGATGAATGAAAAGGCTTGGGGGGCCGAGATGCAGCAACATGAATTTCCATATTTTCCAACGTATACCTAAATGTTCCATACACACTGTACATACAAGCAAAAATGGCTTGATAATGATGGCATTTTGGAGGGCCTGGGGGGTCCCCTTTGCTGTTTATGACAAACTTTCAATCCTCCATCCTCTTCCCTGTCTTCCACACGGCAGATTCCAGTGCTCACCGGTATTATTTGCCCCAAAAGCCAGCCAGTTTATACACATGTGGAGGATAGTGTTTGCCAGTTCACGATCGTTCGGTGAAAATTAATGGTGTAGAATTTCTCCTCTGCCTTTATTCCCCTCCGGAAAGTGAGAATCCCCAGCTTTCCGTGCCAGGACTCACTCACCTCATTCACAGCTTACATGAAAAATAAACATAAAGCCGACTCAGCGCGCTTTTTCGGTCACGCTAATGATGAGTGTGAGGAGGAGGCAGACGAATCTCCGGAAGGTGCCGGAACAACAAACTTCACGTGACGTCGGAAAATGAAATGTTTCTCAGAAGACTTACCTCCCAAGTGAGCACGTTATTTAGTTTTTTGCGACTATCGATGGGGCATTACAAACATTTATTTGTTCGACAATGTGAATACCCCGCACAATTTTTAGTTCTTGGGCTCCCACCTGTCCAGACACCACGCTGTCCCTGGATCAGCTCAGCGTAGAATGTCAGCAGCGAGCCAGGAGAAAATAACTACACAGTGAAAACACTAATTAAAAGTTGTGCGGTCAAGTTGCCCACAAGCGTCCAGAGGTCGGCTAACTTTTAATTCTCTGTCAGATTGAGAACTTATAGGGAAATTATGCAAAACTTTGACTTGAAGGTGTTAAAGGTGCAGTCTGTCCATTTACATGAGACATTCATCTTCTTGTGAATGAAGTTTTCCTCAATCAAAATAAAGAGAGTTATGATTCGTGGCGCTGAAGCCTTTGATTTTTACTTGAAAGTTGTCATCTGAAACAGGTTGGAATGAGAAAGGAGCAGCAGCGGACTTTAATCAGGAACACGTCATCAGATATTACAATGTTGAGGCACAGGAATAATTCAGAGCGACAGCGGCCTAACCTTAAAGTGTGACATCTGCATTTCTGTCAAAACCCCAGAAATCACAAGATTCTGATCTAACAACTTTGAGGAACATTAAAGATAATAACAAAGAAAAACTCAGACATCATAACCGTCAGGTCTAATGAGACGAGTTCGAGAGCTGATTTACATTGTGAACTTAAAAGACTTTATTTACCTCTGGCCTTGATGGAGGGATGTATTTAAGACTCATTTATAAGTTTCTTTAAAGGCATTTCAATGTGCAAAACTACACAACTTGACAACTGTAATCACTGTGCGTAAAATTGCTTTCCTATTATTTTAATTTCTTCAAGTCCATATTTTTTCTCCATATTTTTCAGTGCATTCAAATTAATGTTGCTGTCCTTAAATCAATGTTATCAGTATTAATGTAGCAATGAGTCCAGACAATGTTTTGAGATATTTTTTTAATTAAGGTGAAAACAAGGCCCAATATGACCACAGCTTGTTGACTTTTTTAAGTCTGAGGGTCGTTATGTTTCTGTCCCCGGCGGCCATTTGTTTCATGATCCGTCTGTCATAGTCAGGCAAACAGCACCTGAAGAACCTTTAGTGTGTGCCCTCTTGCCTTATGTGGGGACTTCTGTCATTCTCCAGGAGGTTCAGGTGGCCGTGGGTGATTGCTGCAGGATGCTGCCTGTTTCCCCAGCAGCCCCCCACACACAACACACACACACACACACACACACACACACACACACACACTCTGTCAATCTCTCTGAAAATGTTCTACCACACACAAGCACTTCGTTCATTGTTGCCTCTCTTTTGCTGAGCCTCACTCCTCCAGTCCTCTGTGAGCCCCTGCTCTCATAAGAAGATTAACAAAACCTTAGTGGCAAATTCATTTGCATGGGAAGCTGCGTGGTAAATTAGTAAGAAAAGGAGCCCGCTTCCTAGAGAGCGACCTCCCCTCTCCCTCGTTGGTTTTAAGAGAAGACAAAAGAGCTAGTAAGCCATGCCAAAGCAAGACAAACAAGGGCTAGGTCAATATCTCACATTTATGAGGATATGTTTTGTAATTCCAAAATGAAACAATATTTTTATCGAATGAGAGGTCATGCAGACCCAGGAGATGGAAGACCGAAAAGTAATCAAAGCAAAAAGCATCAAATTCAAGCAAAGCAAGCCAAATAGACAATTTCCACCAAAGATAATAATATCAATAACAACCCAGGATCTTGGCCACCTCCTAATTCTCTAAAAGTTTAAATGTTTTTTTAATTGTAAATGACTATCATGGCTCAAAGTATATCAACTAACAAGAACTCAATTATATTTAAAAAAAACATTAGAAGGAAGGATCCTTGCTTGAAAAATTCCTAACCCTGATATGAAAGACAGAAAAAGAAATAAAAAGTTTTGGAACATCTGGAACACATTTCAGATCTTAAAGGTGCAGAATGACCACACGTATGTGCAAAATGACAACAAAGACATGTAACAACTACAAACACAGACACAAAATAATTGGAAAGATGCCATCTGACACAACGGGACAAAACATCTACAAACATGTAACTACTGTAAAATGTAAAGCAGCCTCAAGAAATCTGACATTATAAAGGACGATTGAAAAGACACTGAAAGTGGCTGAAAATATTTTTGCATGGCTCTCAGCCAGTGTTTCTGCCAATCCCCAAGGGTTGGGGGTCTTTCATGTCTGCATCTGGGGGATGATTGTCTCCTAATCCACCCGTGGCGGGTAAAGCCCTGTCACTGTGAACATGCTGCCATGCACAGCAGCTTTCCTCACAGAGCTGCCGCCATGGCTGCCGATCACGGGAAGGAAAATTGGACGAAAACGATCACATCCAACATCAGAAACTTCAGTGACTCAACATTGTGCCATTACTGCTCACAGAGTAAAATATTTCTCAGTAATCTGGGTTTTGGATCACACGTTTTTTTTAAACGAGCAGCTAAAAATTCTCCCCGCTGAGGTGTTATTGCTACATATAGGATGTAAATATATGAGGGGATGACGCATGGATGTCTGCTGTTATGTCTGGGTTTGCTGGCTGACGGCTCAGTAAGGACTGAAGTTTTGGCCCTGTTGTAAAAAGAAATGTGTCGAGAAAAAAAAAATCATTTGGGGAATTTGGGATTGGATTTGGATTTGGAAAGCTGGTACATTTCATGAGGGGAGTTTTGGTTTGTCTGTCTCTACTCGGGCCTCATTGTCTCTCCACCGAGATGGTCTGTCAAAACAGAGATGACTGACTGATTCCCTTTATCACTTTACACGATCCCCTGACAGTCATCTTAGTGTTTTAAAGAGCTCCGGCAGAGTTTCGCTTGGCTAGAATCGCCCCCCCCCCGTGACAGTTGAGGATGCTCCACTACCCAAACAGAGATAGAAAACTCTCCTAGGCTGTGACAACAGATCCTTCTTATTAGATCGATTTGGGCAAACAGAGGATCCATATTCATTTGCCCAATGGAGTGATTCATTCTAAAGTGGAGGTAAAGCGTGAGGCCGTTCTGCACACAGAGCATTTTTGCAGGTTATAACACATGTGGCTGGAAAATGTCCAATAATGGAGCTGTTTTGAAAGCAGATATCTTTGTGACTAAGTTAGAAATGACAAAACTGTCTGATTTTAACTAACTGGTGAAATTGAGGGTATCGAGGCATATTTCTAAAGTTACACAGGAACATTAAACATTTATTGTTTTAGATGGTAAGAAGCTCTATAGAAAGGAGTTTAACAAATGCCTTATTAACCCAGTTGAGGTAGTGGTTTAATGTAGTGACATATCTCAATGAATGCTTGATGGATGGGATCGGTGCTTTGTCGGTCTGGTGGATTTTCCACTGCAGTGGTCCGGGGCTGAAATCCCCAGACAAATGGTGAATGCATTCCGGAGGAAGACTGATTCTCGGTGCAGCGATTGCAGCCGGCGGGCATTAGAGGCGCTGGATTGAAGGCGAACGGCATGGCAGACTGACAGTCGCTCCACTAAATACTGATCAACATCTGTGTCTGTCTGTTTAATGAACTCTTCTGCTGTCGTCCAACACCAGTGCCACTTATCAGCACACCATGGCAGGTTCTGCATTAAAATATGAGAGACTGCGGTGACCAAATAATCAGTTAGCAATATTTTTTCATTTGTATCAGCATGTATAAATCATCTGAGCTTCCTCTCTATTATTTTTTTCTGTATATCCTGGTTAATAAATGTGCTATGCCAATTACACTGAACATTTTAGCTCCATGTTTTGTTAGTCAGCGCTAGATTTTAGAGATTAATTGATTAGTGTGTCATTTGAAACGAAACTTGACCTAAATGTCCACAAATCAATAAGAAAACATAAACATGCCCACAAAAGTCATCTCTGTACTCTCTGGAGAGTACTCTGGATATATTAATGATCTTCTGTTATGCATATTGAGGACCTCCCTACTACTTTTCCGTTCCACAATCAGAATTAGTGCTGACATAAAACAGATAATTAAAAATCAGCCTGTAATTAACTCTCTCTGTTGCAGGAGGTTGGGAATCACCTCGACTTGAATGCATCCTTTTCAATGCACGCTTAGAAATTTCCTGTATTAAAAAAAAGAAGAAACAAAAAAAGAAAAACGAGCTTGGCCTGATCCAGCTTGGCTCCATGGGTGTTGGAGTTGAGTGCTTGAACTCAGCACTTGTTCACTAAATCCTCCTGTGAACTTTCCTCAGCCCCCGTTCTGCTGCTCCATCTCGGCCACATTAGCTGACAAAATTTAAAAATATCCTTTTCCATCACAATGGGCGCAATAATCCTTCTATTTAAACACTTCTACCTCCATTCTTTATTTTTCCAGTGCCAATAAGGACTTTCTCTGAAGAAAAAAACAAGCACTGTTATGATGAAGACTCCATTCTGTTTCTTCTGCATTCTGTTTCTTCTGCATTTTGTTTCTTCTGTACATTTCAAATTGATCAAACCTTGAACTAAATACACATCGCTAGAGACAGTCTGCATGATAGATAATTCCATAAAATGATTTTATATGAAGGGGGAAAAAAGTCCATTCATCCACGGCTAAGCTCAGCTCACCTCTTTGTTAACGCACATTTTTTCTGCTTCGGTCTTCTTGTTTCTATTCTACCGTTACTATGTTGGTCCGATGATCACGTGGAGCTCAGTGGGTCTTGCTTTCAGCCCATATTCATCATAGGCAAGGTTGCTAAGGCTGTTCTCATGCCCAAATTCTGGTCAGTTCCATGTGAATCGTGTCCAGTAATTGATATTAAATGCATTCTCACCACTGGAAAAACACCCAGAGGCTTCTTATGAATTCTGTGTGGTTTTAATCCTCTCATATTTCCTGCATAAAACAAAAAAGCAAATAAACAAATAACTTTCTGCCGCAACTGCTTCTGGTATTTCTGTTCCAGATTTCTTTTACCTGATTAAGTTCTCATCTTTGAGACCGCAGTTTATTTTCCATAATAGCTTTATGGGACAGCTAATCAAACAATATGATACAATCTTAAAAATCTGTGATATTTGAATAAAATGATGATAGCTTGTCATTCCATGACTCACAATCTGTGACCTCGAGGAAATCCTGAAAATTGCTTTAATCTGCCACCCTGCTGCTTTATCGCGCTATAACCAGAGGGGCTTGATCAATAGGACGGTCTTGGAGGAGCTCCATCTCCGAGTCACGGAGCATTCTGGAGCGACCGGCTTTGTCATTTGGGGACACACATGAATTAATCACACTGATACGTGTCGACAGTTTGCCTTAAAACTCTTTCTGCCACACTTGTGGGCCTGATGAAATAAGCAGGGGGGATATAGGTTGCGTTGTCACAATGTGTGCTTTTCATTGTCTGCTCTTCCTTTCCTTTGAGTGCTTGTTTTATTTGTTGTTTGGCAATTTAGCACTTTGGTTCGCTCACTTTAGTCCCGATTCCTGTTCTCTGTTCACATCCCGTGATTACTTTTAGCATCCTGATCTCCCACCTGAAGGTCAACAGGCCGGTCTGGGCAAGCAGTCGGAAATAATATCCCCCCAAAAAAGACATGTGTTGACACTGTGGTCGGCGGAACAATGCAAATGCACGAGAGGCAGGATGAAAAACCGCTGGAGCTGATGAGCAAACGCAGCACAGGTGCACATGAACATGCACACAGAGACCAAAAGAGGCGGAAGGGAACAGAAACAGGAAGTAAAAAGATTTTGCAGATCTTGGTTTGGACAAATGATCAAACAAACAACCATCTCATAGTCTTTTTCTTCTGTTAAACAACTCCAACGGACTCTTATTGCTTTGTCACTCAAAGGTTATCACCTGTGTTGGAGATGGAAGATTAGGCCTGTGCCAAGTTTGACGATGAAAAATGAAAGATAGTTGTCTCAAGACGCTCACACACACACACACATTTCTGTCCTCGTATTCATCCACCACAACAAATTCTGACATGTTTTTATCTGAGGAGCTTCCTTTGAGAGTATTCTGCACAGGACATGTCGGGGTAAAAAAAAACAAAGATAACAATGTTGTTGACTTGTGTAAATCAGCTATTTTGGTCTGAGTTGACAGCAATTCTCCAGACTTACCTGTTCGTTTGTCGCTAAAGTGAGGCAGCCGAGTCAGCGCACGCCATTGGGTGAAGTCGTGGCACAGTCGTCCTCAAGCATCTGTAGATTCTTTGTCAGCAGCTTTTAAAATCCGCAGATACAACAGCACGGCTCGTCTGGAAACATCAGAGGCCTGTCTGGGTTTTCAAAGGAGAGGGGATCAGGCCCTTGTGATGTCTGTGGAGAGCGTGGAGCTGCAATTTGCTTGACATGTTGCATAAAGTGTGTCGGAGTGATTCAGCGGGTGATATCTGAGTGCGTTTGAAGAACGGAGCACTTTGCGTGATTGATATTGAATCATGTTTTTTTGGAAACGTGCTAATACCGACATCCGTGAGACTCCATCTCGGAGAAACTTGTTTTTGGTCGTTTATTTTTCTCGTTTATTGACCTCCCAACAGATATGATACATGACTGGAGCATTATGATGAGCAGAATGTCATGGGGGCGTGCACGAGCCTGAACATCCACCTGGATGAGCAGTGGTGCACACTGGGAGGCAGCCCCTTATCACCGACAACAATGAGCCTGGCTCCCTTTGCTGAGGGGTGATTACGGCTGAATGGGAGCAAATCCCTGAGGCGGGTTCAGTATCTTTTGGAAGACCTGAAACCAGGAGAGAAGAAGCTGGAACGGCATTTGAATAATGGCTTTTGTATCATTTCACACAGTCTGTTGCTAAACCGGGAACTGGTTGAGGCTCTGGAACCTCGTTTTAGGTCCTCATTGTCTGACATCATTTTGTGGGTAGTAAATAAATGACGGACCAGGGTTAACAATACCACCAGGGGGACAAAAACCCCAGAAAATACTCTTCAACCTGTGTTCGAGTTGAGCCACAGTTTAGTTCCGAAGACACAGAGACACACAATTTTATAAAGAATGGATTAAATGAAGCCTTAATCTTAAACATATTAAAATGGCTCACAAATCCTAAAAATAAAAATAAAAACATAGAAATGCGACACGACATGAGCAAAGACTACAGAAGTCTCACTGTGGAGGTTTTCTTAAAAGTGCAACTCCACCACCATCATTTCTGGTATCGGAAGGAGAGTGCACAAAGAGTGTTTTGTGTTCTGTTTGTGTTGACTATTGGGACTTTTCCCACTGGGCGCATCTCGGGTCAACACGGTTATGCATTTAGTTCCTACTCTGCCGCTTATTGTCCAGACATGATGATTCAAGAAAGCGACTCCCTTCTGAGAACCCTTTCTATTTTAAAAACACAGCAAAAGGTCTGTTTTTTCTGTGATGAACGACGTACTAAGATCAAACTTCAGCCAGTATATCATGATAAGTAATTACCAATGGAAAAAAAAAAAACATGTAAAAGCTGCTATCCCCATTTAATGGATTTTTAATAGGTCATTCTTATTTGACACACATTTCATCCCTGATTTAATCTTTACGAAAACACAGACGCATTTGTGTTTTTCGATTGTTTGCTTAAATCGGATTTAATCGTGGAATTTTACTGAACCAACAGACAGTCCGACTGGGACTGTACTGTGCGACGCACCCTGCCATCAGGATGTTTATAGATACAGTAATAAGATTACCGAATGATTGACAGAGATATAAAAAGTTAACTGGATTAAACACAGCTGAGGAAACAGTTTCTTAGCTGTGGAGTCTTGGGTGAAAGATGAGGGCTTCTGACAGGCTAAGGACACAGCTTATACTTTGTTAACATGAGCCTGCGTTTCACCCTGAGAAGTGGGGCGGCTGTAACAAGCGTTACACAACACAGCAAAATGCTTTCGATGGTGCATTCATGATTGCCTTCATGAAGCAGTTGATCGCCCTGAGCAAAAAAATAAACTGCCATTCTTCTTGCTAAAGAAGAGAGGATAAGGAAAATGTAAGCAAAAGTTCCTCCAAAAGAGGTGAGTCCCGAGTGGAAAATTGCCCATCTTTGCTCATCCATTTGTACTCAACTGCACAATATAGAGGAGGTTTTGCTTTTTTGTGCATCTGAGTCGCACAGTGAAAGCACAAAGAAGTCCAAACAAAAAAAAATAGGCATATTGGCAATAAACAAGCATTCAAATGATCTGACAGCCTCCTTCTTCTCTTCGCTCGCATGGCCAGAAAGAGCAACACAAAGCCGATCCAAACAAAAAGGGCAAACCCATCATCGGTTTCTGCCAGCCAGATGTGAGATAACAGGGCATGAAGCCAATCTGAGAGACAAATGCCAAAATACGAGTAAAGCTGCAGGGATCCATGGTAACAGACAGGTAAAGGACGAGAGATAAGGACGCAGTGGAACAAGATAGTGTAAGACACGTTAATGGGTTAGGTTAATTTAGTCTGAAATAGAAATGTAATCTTAGGGAAAGAAATCAAAGGTTAAATATCTGTCAAATTGCATGTTTGAAAAGGAAAATGCTGTGGGTTTTTTCCCCCAAAAAGATCCAAACAGATGCGTAAACGCCACAAATATTTTGAAATCTGTTCCAGGCTAAACTTGAGCAAGCCGTCATAAACCTTCTAATGTCAATAGTTAAAGACTTTCACTCATAAAAAGTCTGTCTTAATTACACTGAACAGCATTGTATAATTAGTGTGTCAATTCATTAAGGCTTATGATGACAGAGTGCTTTCACACTCTGTAATTTGGACCCAGCAAAATTGCTCCAGTCTCAGGGGACAAAACTTACTTTTTCTGACTACTTCAGCTTAAAAATGGGACTCATCATCTACCTTCTCACAAGAACCGACATCTCACTGGTGCTGTGTCACTTATCGGGGGGCGAGTACATGGAAATTCTGCACGTGTGAACTTGGGCAGGGGGGGACATGTACACAGAAATTTGCTGGAATAACCTACATTCATTTAGCTTTTTTTTTTCCTCCGGGGTGTTTTTCTGCCACGTTAACTTGAGTTTTCCTGCTCGGCTGTACTATCAGATGCTGCTATGGGGGTTCAATTTGCAGTTTTCTTGCGAAATAGCAAACATCACAGTCCTCCATTTATCTTCTATTCCATCAAATGTTTAAATATATATTTGAACATAATGTTCTCCGTCCATATTTTGCCTTTTAGTCCTTGGTCCATGATCTCAAACAGAAAAATAAGGTACCATTTGCACAATGCCCTGTCAGTCTCAATCAAACAATCACTTTGTTAATCCACCCGCTTTCCATGTAAACCCTCAGCTCTCTTGCAGGGTTATTTCTAACTATGTGAAGGTCTGGAACTTGATTTGTTTTTTTCCCAGGTGAGAACAGATTTTGGAAACTGATTGCATTATTTAAATAACGTCTTTACTAGGGGTTGAAGTGGGGTAAATACAAGCTGTGCTGCCATGCTCTGAAAAGACCATATCTTAGGTTAGCTAGGCTGTTTCTGAACAAACCACAAGATTTCCGTAACAAAGAGCAGAGAAAAGTGGAGATGTTTGGTCAGTCCATCATAAACTACTCTCTGCCATGAACTCTGGCTAAAGCTGGCTGATCAACATCTGAGAATCAAGATGTTGTCATGGTCAATATAGAGAATAAAATCAGAAATATAGAGTTCAGTTCAGTTTCAGGGCTGTTTTATTCTCAGGTTCATATTCTTACACCGCTGAAACCTTCCTTTCTTTCCTAATATTGCATCAGATAAGCTAATCAGTGTTTGACTTTAAGGGTAAATTCATGAAGCAGTCTTGCGTCTTATTCTCTACGACTCTAAATCCCGTCCCAAATGACTTAAATAGATATTCTTATACTTTGAAGCACACTGATACGAACCCTTTCACAGAGGAAAAATTCTACAGCATTGTTCTAAATTGGACCAACCTCTTTTGGAAGCAGGAAGCCTTTCATAGTTGCTTTTCCTTTGTTTAGCTCTCCTTATCGGGTATGCTTCATGCATCCAAATTGCAGCTGCACATCTGCAGCTGAAGGAGCTGATACCAGAATGCTTAAGAAAGCAAAATGATCAATTTCAAGAGTAGTCTTAATGGTCTTCAAAAAAGTGTCATTCAAATACAAAGAGCTGATCACGGGCTGCATAAAGATGAAGTCATTTGAGATTTTTCTTTTTTTTTTAACGACCTGCAGGCCAACATTTGAAGCCAGCTGTCAAAAAATAAACAGAGGCACTAGGTAACATTTTAATTGGTTCTGTTGAATGCATTAACAAACTGTGCAGTTGACATTATCTAAAAATACCTGCACTGTTTTGGACTAATTGGATCATCTCGCATCTCTCGTAAGCTAATTTCTAATGTGGTACAGGCTTAAATATGAGCATGTGAACAACAACAACAACAACAAGAGAAGCACTAATAGCAAACCAGAGTCTCCGATCCTGCCACACACTCGAGCACAGCACAAAGAAATTGAAGTGTTTACAGCGACAGAGATTTTAAACAGAAAGGACCTAAGAGGAGCACCTAAAGAAAGGAATTCTTTACCGAGCTGGTGTCGAAAACCCGCTAATGGATTGCAGCTGAAAGACAGAAAACAACCCGGACAAACATTACTTATTTATTCATTCCAGCCCTGGGATTCGTCTTTTCACTTAGTTGGTGTTTGTCTTTGTGTCACAGGAAAAGTAAACCTCTAAAAAAGACATGTGCCCATGTTGTACAGCTGTGGTTAGCAGAACAGTTTTGTGGAATGTGCATCTTTGGAAATAAAACCCTGTCAGGCTCGGAGTGGAATGAGTCCGGCTCACTTATTCAGACAAACATGTCACTGGAAATATCATTTCAAATTAGCATCTGCTCTTTATCTATTTTGAATGAGCTTAAAAGGCTGAGTACACATTAGTCGGGATATTTTAGTCTGGTATCGGAGCACTTTATTTCTTTGGTAGAAAAATGTTTTATTAATCTTTAAGTTTGTCAAAGTTATCTTGCATGTTCTCTTGCATGTTCTCCCCATCTGTCTGTGGGCAGTCGTTTATGAAAAATGATACGTTGCAATATTGAATATTTTGACTGGAATTTAAAGCTCTGCAGCTCAAAAGGTTGAAAGTCCGTAAAAGCATTTAGTAGGATTTTTTAAGACTTTATCATCTCTATTCATACTGACAGTTTTGACTCAAAACAGCTCATTACAATTTTCAATGTCCACCAGCTCTGAACTTGTCTGATTTTTTTGATCTCTCAGTTATGATTGTAACATTAAATCCTTTAAGGATCCTTTTAGGATTTTGAATCCCATCTGGTCATCTGTCATAACTACAAGGTGGATAAACCTCATTCTA